GACCATTACAAACACACCTCCTGATTCAGTGAACAAGCATCTTCTCGACACTGTCACCAAATGTAAGTGCCATTTGCCTCACATTTTTCAGTTTAAATCAATCCTGCAAGTACAAGGGACAGAAAACTACCTCTCTTGATCGCATTCTCGAAAGCAGCCGATTTCAACATCCAAGGATTTTATTTTTCTAATCCAAAGATGGCCTACTTTTAACCAGCAAGTATGAAAAAAGCTTGTAAAACTCCGAAAGGGGGAGAAGGAGGGAATTCGTCTCCTCTCTAAGCTGCGTTAACCTTTTGCTGGCTTTACAAGAAATAGTCTGGGGAGTCCTGAGAGAGGCTCTCAACGATACTCGTGGTCTCAAGTACAGATTTATGCCGTGCCAGAGTGAAGCTTGTCCTCTGGGTTTGCGGTAGCGCTGTTTGAGGCTGGCTGTAGGGCAGAATAAAAGGAGGACTATAAAGTACAACGCTGAATTATGGTCAGCCTATTCACCACGGCTGAAAACACAGTAATCATTTCCATATAAATCAGGATAATTTAGAGCCACATGGCTGTTTGTCCTCTCCTCCGAGCTCTGAAAGGACTAGCCAGCCAATTTGGAGGGAAACGAACAATGATGTGCATTTGCATATTGAAAAATAATTAAATAAATACAAGTATCCCTTAAAAGAATGTCTAACCCTCATGGTTGTCACTTATTACAATGCACATAATTATAGAGACGTATAATATTTTATTAGACATTTTTAGAAGGTTTGCTTATTCTATGAACAAAGCACGTGGTCACCATTCAACCTATGAAGGGATTGTAAAATAGGGAAATTTACTGTTTGTATTTTTAAGTTTAACAGCCAAAGAGGCCCGATTTGTAGTTTGCCTTAATGCAACAAGTGTTTACAACCTTTTTAAAAGTCTTTAATGTCCTGACACCAATTTGTAATCGGCTGAGGAGGTTCTCCAGTCCTCGTGATCGTCTGAAGCGGTTTTATGATAACACACAATGCCTTGAGGATGCTAATGAGGATTACCATAATGGTGCCGCAGTCTGTGAGGTTGGTCTTGATGCTGAAGACATAGTCGTTCCCAACCTCAACACCTCGACAATCAGGATCATTCAAGTGCAAATCCCAAACCTGAACAGAGATCAGTGAAAATGGTTTAAAACAAATTCAAGCATTGCAATTGATTGAATTATTTGTGAAGTTAAACGGCATGAACATACCGAAACAGGTGGCTCCTTGTTCAGAAAAAACACACTGGGAATGATAACTTGCATCTGATCTTTGGTGCAAATGACGGTCTCATTGAGTTCTAGATGAAAACAGTGAGAAAGAATGCTTAAATATTAATTTAGCATATAATAATATTTTAATATTGGATATATATTATTCATTTTGAAGTATTGCAATGGTACATGCTTTAGTGTTCAAAAGAAAATAAATATTAAAAATAAATACTATATAGCATTAGTTTTTAATCTCTCTCTCTCTCTCTATATATATATAAATTGAAATAACATAACATTTAAAAATTAGATATAAAATGTACATTAATTGCAGTGCAATGGCAGATTCTTTAGCATTATAAAAGATAAATAAAAATGCACGGAAGACATCAACGCATGTAAAAGCTTTTACTAAAATTGTACAAAAATTTGCCAAAATGTACATCCCAAATTCAAACTGGTTTATATGCATGTAACAATAAAATAATGCACTTGAATATTTCTCTTTGCATGTGTTTAATCAGACTTACCTTCTTCTTCAATCTGCACAGCAGAAGTTACTGTCCATATTGAGAGCAAAGACCATGTCAGTGCCAGTGTAGCAGGTGTCATCCTTAAAGCCTTTCTGGCTTCTTCTCTCCTGAAATTTAGTTCCGTCTTCGGCCCTTTCCACCAAAGCTTCTCGGTTATCACCTCGACTAGCTGTCAGAGCCAGACGTAGTGCTTGCGCTCTCTCCAGCCCTCCGAAACACAGCTCTAATGAAGTGGGAACCTCCAGTTGCTTTGGAACACCAGCTTGAATGATGTCCACACCAACAATGAGATTCCACACATGAATAGCACAAGTCGGGGGGAGTCCAAGGTTACACCAACCAACTAGATTTCAGGCAAAAGCAGAAAAAATTCTACTGACAACCCACTTAGCAGACAGCGCACTGTACATCTCAGTGCGTTGGTCGACAAGGAGTTTGTTTGTCATGCAAAGGGAATGGAGGTACAGGGGAGGTGTTTTGTTTTATCTCACTCTTTTGTCTGTATGGGGTTTTATAGGGCATGGCAAACGCTTTACTGTTTCGGGAACCCCAACGACTTGTTTGAAAAGAAATCCCGTCACACTGAGTCAAGGGCAGTTCACTGACACCTTAGCCATGGAGTTGATGTCTTTAAGACTGTTTGGACAGAGAGAGAGGGCAGTCTTTCAACCTTGTGAGGGAGATTTTCAGATGTTAGATGCCAAAATGTGAAACGATGGCACTGCAATCAATGCATTTTCAGGGGATA